CTGAATGTGAGGTAAAATCTCAGAGTTCTTATTTGCATTCTTCTTATTTATAGTTGTCTTTCGAATGGTGATTTATAGTTTGTAATTCTTTGTAACAATGAGCCACGTAACAAAAGACTGGACAGACCACATGTAAATAGGACTATATAGATGGATATGGGGATGCCCCCACCCCTTTCTCCTAAAAATCTGGATTTTCACCTTTATAGGTGGTAGGTAGACAGCCTACCAGGCTCTTACTCCCTCATTGTTCTATCTTTGAGAGGGATATTGTGCTAAAATTATATCTATCTATTGTATCTCAGATATTTGAAGGGGTATTATTCTTTTGGGGCTTAGGATAAAAGCTACTTTCCATGGTCATTCCTGGGGGAAACAGTTTTGCCCCAGACCTGGAGATTAATACTTAACCTAATCTGAGCTGGCTTAGTTTCCTTTCCCCCCAAACACTTTATTACATAAAAAAATTATGAATAGCAAGTAGACATGTTTATCAAAGCAAGCAATAAAAATGTAATTAGGAAAGCCAAACAGATTAATTTAGGCAAAGGGATTGCAAACTACAACTTTATCCCACTTTTGTAGGGACAGCTAATAATGGTTTTTACATTTAAAAATACAGTTTATTGTACTTATAAATGTAAAAACCATTCAGTTTAGAGGCAGTGTAAAAATAGTCAGCTAGCCAGATTTGGCCTTTGAACCTTAAGTTTCCATAGTTTGCCAACTCTTGGATTAGGCCATAGAATACATAAGAGTTAGGGGGAAATTTGTGAAATGAAAGCAGCTCCACCAAGAAAAGAATTATCTTACCCTACAAGTTTATTTTTAGTAGTCTCTGAAAGTGCAGGCCATGAGAATCAAGGGACATGCTGAGGTTTTTACTTTTTCCCATAAGTCTTCGATGCTGGCAGTCACCTATTTACCATTCAAAGTCCATGCCTTGCTTCTTCTTTCTCTCCTGTTCTCCTCCAAAAGTCCTTCAACCAATAAGGAATCATATCTCCCTGTACATATGCAACATCACAGGACTATCTTTTATGGGACTGCCAGTTACCCTCTGGATATGGGACATCTGCTTTCTGTTTGTTCATATCTTTCAACTATTTATCCATCAAAGAATAGCTCTTGGTCTAATACAGTTGTGTTACTTCCTATTTACCTTTGATACTGGGCTTTTAGCAGACATATCTGAGGTAAGCTATTTTTTCCCAATTGACACTTTTGCTTCTAATGCTAGTTACATTGATTTTGTTAATGGAAAAGCTTTCCAGTTACATGGAATCAACAGTAACTGCTTTGTTACTGTGCTAGTTCATTAAATGCCTTTTGTTTTGAACTAATTGTTTCTTATGCCTGATTAATAAAAGCATATTCATTCTAGGAATCAGGAAAATTGTGTTATAGCCCTAGTTCTGCCATCAATTAGCTGTGTGACCTTAAACAATACATTTAACCTCTCTGGGCTTATTTTATCATCTGTAAAATAAAGTGGTTGCATTTGATGATCTCTGATGTCCCTTCAAGCTTTCACTTTTTTTTTCCCAATGATGTCATTGCTTCTCATCAGCCTTAACGAGACATTTTGGTATCTGAGTGCCTGACACCCAGGTACCAACAGACTGAAGGATATACATTTATTATAATTACCTTCTTCTTCCTTTTTACATGCTGATTGGAATTCAAAACACTGGGGTTCTTGCATGATTAGAGGAAAGCAAGAAACTCTGTCTTCCTTACCTACAGAAGTCTCTCTGTTGATTGCTAAGATGCTTCATGTTTGTGGCAGAACTTAATCCTACTATATACTATAAATACAGGGGTATATTGGTAAATATTTCTCTCTGAAAACACATGACATGCTTTTAAGTTTAATCTTAAATATTAGCATTATTAACATTTTCTCTATCACTCTCTTAAGTCTAGACAAAACAACAAATCAAGCCCTGATTTGCAGCATGACTTCCAAAGTATTAATCCTTACACTGATAATTAAACACTTACACTGATAATTAAACAATCAGCTCTCTCTATCTAGTTAGAGAAATCTAAGTACCTGTCAGTTTTAGATATCATTCTCAGTTCCCCATTAATTGAACCCACAAGAAAATAGAACACAACATTTACAATATCTTTATAAAGTCATTCCTTGTGATTTTCTTTTTTTTTTTGTCAAAATGATTTGTTATAGTGAGGTTTTCCCTTGATAGACTGACTCTTTATCCTTTCTGCTTCCTGGATGGGATGGGCTCTTGTCCTTTTTATCTTAACCTTGGCATTTTGAACAATCATCAAAACTTTGCTATTTTGTGCTCACATTTTATATATGTAAAGCTTAGCAATAGATATTAAAGGGAAATTTGGAGATCTGATTTATTTGAAATACTATCTGAGTGGCATGATAACACAACTAAACAGTGTGTTGACACCTAATGTTATATATTTTATTTTACATTGAGACTGAGGCATCATAAAAAAAAGGGGGGAAAGTTTATTTTTACATTATGCAAAGTTTTACTTAAAAATGTGTTAGAAATATGGTGGGCCTGTTGCCTAAATTGTATCTCAGTATGCTGACACCTAATGTTATATATTTTATTTTAAATTGGAATTGAAGCATCATAAAAAAAATAGGGGAAAGTTTATTTTTATATTATATGAAGTCTTACTTTGTTACTTAAAAATGTTTTAGAAATATGGTAGGCCTGCTGCCTAAATTGTAACTCATAGATAGTATTACAAACAGCAGGCTATGTTTGCTGGTATAAAGTGACAGCTAGTTGACTATAGGACAATTCTTCAACAATGTCCAAAAAGGAAACTAAAGACTATTTGTTTCACAAGTATTTGTATCACCACTTAGTGATTTATGAAGTTCTCCTTTCTGTAATCTCTCTGAAAATTGTTGGTTTGTTTTTGTTCAGACTTAGGAGTTCCTAGGTGGAAACCCCCTTACCATTGCAGGTAGACAACTTTTCTTTAGCTTACATTCTTAGGACACCGAGATATTGTGACAGTGTCCAAAGTCACACAAGCAATATGTGTCAGAGCAGGAGTTGAGCATCTAGGTATAATGCTGTTTAGGGATTCAGGGGTGCTGGGACCCCAAAATCACAACATGCGGGTCCTGCCCAAAAGAATTTGACCTAAGCCTTCTTTCAGCCAAAGACAAGGTTTATTAGAACATCCATCATTTTGGGCAGACTCTTAAGGAGTCTAGGAGTCTGCAAGCATTGACTAGATTCTAAGAATCTAAGCAGTGGCTAGATTTTAGGAATCTGAGCATCTTAATGGAGACAAGATGGACCTTATATACAGAAAGACTGTGGGAGTGACCTAGGAGTGGCCAGTAAACTGGGGTGAACAGAACTCCTGGGACCTGGACCTAGCCAAGGGAGAATGGAACCCAGCTAGGATGAAGGGCTGGAAGTGGCCAGGGGCCATACATAGGGAGGTAAGACAAAGGAAAGCCAGGCTAGATTAACAGAATTGGGAGATTGGGTGTAGCTACAATGAAGGGCTAGTTGATGGGATTATAGCCTCAGGCGAATGCCAGAGATTTGGCCAAGTGGGAAAGTTCAGGGTTTTTCCTTTCTGGGGTCTAGACCCCAACCCCATCAGGTGCATCAAAGAATGCTAGATTTGGAGTCAGAGAACATGTGTTTAAATCTGTTGTTCACTCACTGTCACTTGCTACACGTGTAACTTTGGGCATGTTACAACTTTTCAGGGCTCTGATCTGTAAAATGAGGAGGTCATGTCTTAAATTCTCTTGCAGGCCTAAATCTGGGATCTTGTGAACTTTGGTTTTCCTGACTCCTGAAGACTGCTATCTTCACACCATACTGCCTCAATCAATCAGTCAACATTTATTAAGCACCTATATGCCAGGAATTGGGGATATAAAAAGAGGCCCTTAAGGAGTTTACAATCTAATGTGGGGGGGGCATGGAAGCAAATATATGCAAAGCAAGTTGCATAGGGAGATAAATAAGAAATCATTAATAGAAAGAGGGCACTAGAATTAGAAGAGGTCAGGGAAGGCTTCCCGTACAAAGCAGGATTTTAGTTCAGATTTAAAGGAAGTCAGGGAGCAGGATTGAGAGAACAGCTTAAGTATAGGGGACAGCCAGAGAAAATGCCCAGAGGAACTTGCTGGTGGAAAAGCCAGAAGGCTAGGGTCACTAGATCAGTAAGAATGACAACAGTGGATTACTTTGCGACTTGAAATAAATGTAGAATTCAGGAGAGAGAGGAGGAATAGGTATGTAGTTCTAGAAATCATCTGCACATAGATAATGTGTACCTCTTAATCCGGGGTTCTTAAGTTGGGGTCTGTGAGCTTGGCTTTTTTTGTTTTGGGGGATTTTTCTTCCTATAAAGTCTCTAGAATTTCTAGAGAAGGAAGTACTAGTGTTGGTTAGATCTATCAGTCCATAAACATTTATTAAGCGCCTATTATGTGCCCATACACTATGCTAGGTCAAATAAACCAGTCAAGGTGTCTCACTGGCTGTTCAAATTACCCCTTTATTTGCTTCCTGGAACCGTTGGAGTTAATAAGCCTTTGTTTTGAACGCACTTTTCCGGCACTTGAAGCAGCACCCTAAGAGCAAGTAGGGAATGAGGACGGGGCCAGGGACAAGGGCGAGCTGGGCTGAGCTTGACCAGGTGCGAGACTACGGGGTTGGGGGAGGGAAGAGCCGGGGGAGAATCAGGGAGAGCGCCAGGGCCCAAACACCTCACCACGTGCACCTTCGCAGCAGTGACAGGACCCACCAACGCAGCGGCGCACGAGCCAGAGCCCCGCCCCCGCAACACGCGTACTTACAGACGCACAGACCACGCCCATTTCTTTGACCCCGCCCGCTCCACCACCTCTACTGGGAAGGGGACAGAGAGGAAAGGGAGGCCTGAGAAGGAAAAGAATAAACTGCTATCGCGAGAGTCTCTTTATTACGCGAGAATTGAAGGCTCCCTGGCCGAGACTGGGGAGGGAGTTGGGTGTAGGAGGTTGTGCGTGTGCTTGTGTGTGTATGTAGTATGTGCATGTGTATGTGTTGGGTGCGTGTATGTATGCGTGTATGTGGCGTGGTGAGCAAGGCCCCTGGGAGTAAGCGAGGGGGCGGGGCCCCATGAACTGGGCGTACGCATGCGCGCATGCGCGCACGCGGCCGGGCCGGGCTGGGCTGGTCTGCTCGGGGAGGGGGCGGCCGTGGCGGCGACGTTATTTCCGAGGTCGGCAGCAGCAGCGGCGGTACAGTGCGCGGCGGCAGGGGCGCCGCCGAACTAGTCGGTAGGGACGGTTACAGGGCAGACCCGGAAACCCCTTGCTCTGCTTTTCGGAACGTCGCGGTCGTGGCGCGGAGTTCCGTGGTGCGGGGGACCCTTGGAGCCGGCGGGTCACCCTGCGGCCCCTGGCCCGCCTCGCCCCAGGTAGGGGCCCCAAGCAGTCCGGCCCCGCCCGCCCTCCCGGTGTCACCCGCGCGACGACCCGGCGACCGGGCGAAAGCTAGCCAGCCCCGTCCTTGCCCCGCCTGCTCCTCCACGAGCCTCTCCTCCGGCCGGCGCCGGGGGCCGGGCCCGACCCAGGGGGCCCCCGAAGCTCCGGGCGCCGCAGACGCGACCCCGCTTTGGGGGGAGGGGGCGGGCAGGGAGTCTGGCAGCAGGTGGAGGTGCCCCCTCAGGCCGCTTGGCAAGGCGATGTGCCCAGCAGCCCGGGGTCCTGCCGTGGGGGGTGGGGGTCCGGAGCAGGGGCAGTCACCCGAGGAAGGAGGTAGTAGGGTCGCCACCAGCCCTCAAAGTTAAGAGCGCTCCACCTGAATTCATCAGAACCGGCAGAGTGGTCTTCAGTCTTTTTGTTGTTTTCTGGTGTCTCAGAAAGACGGTCACTGTGGTGTTCATTGGTCTCTGTCCCCTGTAGGGTGTCTATAAAAAAATCCATAATGGTCCTTCCAGGAGTGGACCTTGTCAGGGTTAGTTTGCCCAAACCTGGTTCCCATGCATGACCTTGGCCTCCTGTCTGTAACTGGAGGTATGTGTCCAGCCCTCAGGCATTTCCAGTTAAAGGGGACCGATAACTAGTGGCAGATTCTGAGAATTAGGTTGGAAGAGGACACTTTGCAGAGTTATACTTGGATGCCCAGACCTGACCAATCACAAATTAGTATTGGAACCTCTTTGGCTTTTCAGGTAGTCTTTCTTTGTAAAATGAGGGGCTTGGAATAGATGATCTACAAAATTACTTCCATCTCCCAGTGTTCTTATAGTCTAAGGTGGGAGTTAGAATCATAGAATGTTAGAGTTGAATGAAAGAGACCTTAGTGATCATCAGCTCCATTCACAAGAGAAGAGAGGTGAAATGATTTGTCCAAGGTCACACAGAAAGCAAGTGGTACAGGCTGGGTTTTCCTATTGGTAACTCCTTCCTCTAATAATTTAACAGAGAGAACATTGTGTAAATACTTCAGTTTTGTGGAATACTGAAAGCTATTCATTTTCATTTTGACATGGTTTACAGGTAAAATGGTTATGAAAGCTTCTGTAGAAGATGATGATTCAGGGTGGGAGCTCAGTATACCTGAAAAGATGGAAAAGAACAGCACAAGTACAAATTGGGTAGACATAACTCAAGATTTTGAAGAGGCTTGTCGAGGTAAGTGATAACTTGGATCAGAAGTGCTACAAATCAGGAAAAGAGAAAATTGAGTTTTAGTTCTAAATTCTCACAGTTTGTATTAAAAGAAAGCAGTGTTCATAAAGTATCTTTGTAATTATGCTTCCACTTGCCTGTAATTTAAAATACATATGAAAACCAAAATGTACCTTGTAAATATAAAGTATTGAGGGTAGATGCTGGTTAAAACAATATTTTTTACAAAAATCTTTATAAGTAATAATAAATGTATAGAGAGTACTTGCAGTCAATCAGATTTGTAGTAAAATCATTCAGTGGTCTTTTCTGGGTGTGAAGAGAGAATACTCCAGAAGTTATTCTTCTAATGAATACAGTCTGGGAGTACCTGTAGTGCTGCTTTGCTTTCAATTTCTTTTTACTTCATCATTCCTTTGTTTGACTAATTTTTAAAGTCTGTAGGCAGCAGGAAGATTGAGGCCTATATATTAAGCCAGCCATAGATCTCTTCCTTCCTAGATTCTTGTTTATCCACCAAGAAAGGTTATTCAGATAAGAATTACATTATTGCTCCATTGACACTTAGCACTGCAGTGAGTCAGAGGGATACTTGGCTAATTTAGAGTTAAGAAGTTCTCAGTATTCATTCTGATGAAAATAGATGATTATATATGTAGAAGGCAGAGAATTGTGCTAGACCTGTTGTCTGTGAGGTTCAACTCAGTGAATCTATACAGTTGCTATAACAGAAAACTTGAATACATGTCTTTGCAGACCTGAATTTTCCATATACCATTTATGGCCATATTTATTGAACAAAAACTACAATTTGTCACAGTGATTAGAAACTAACTAGCCTTCAGTTATAAGATGTTTATTTTAAAAATTAAGCATTTATTAAGCTCATTGGATTTGAAGAACTGTATAAAGCATATATTACTCTTATGTAGTACTAATAAGTGATGCTCTGAGATTTACAAAAAACTTTATACATTCTTATTTGGTTCTCTTAGCCTTTGAAATAGGTAATGAAAACATTATCCCCATTTTAAAGATGGGATAACTGACAGAGACAGACTGTTATTTGTCCAGCGTTATACCACTAATAAGTCACAGAATTGGGACTCAAACCCAGGTTTTCAGTCTCCACATTTAGTACTTATTTTACTGAACCATAGTTGCCTTCCTGTCTTGTATATTGTGGTTATTAATATTTGTGAAATAAAAAGATTTTTGCATTGTATAAAGAAGATAACTAATAAATGGTTGACTTCAGTTAAGGGTTGTAAAGGCCTTCTGATAACACTTTCCACAAATTAACATATCTAGGCATAAATATAGCTAGATAATTGTGTTAGTAAAACAAAATATTTTATATGCTATATTGGTTGGACTATTATCCTCTCAGGAATAAGGATTGAGTCAAGGAATATAATGCCACTTCACTTACTAATGAGTTGCATCAGCTGTTCATTGAACAAAAGATACCTGTGAAGACATGTGCTACTTCTGTCACACAGTCACCCTCTAGTCCCAGGACTCCTGAATTGTATAGTAGCAGCACAGATGGTAAAACTTGTGCCAACTCAGAGATGCCTTGGTACCAGTCCTCAGTACTGTCTGGCTGAGGTTGCCCAGTGTGAAAGTTTTTGATATAGAAAGCAGCATGAAGTGGCATAAATTTGTCAGTTGGTTCACAACACTGAGGAATGGCCCATTAGGGATAGAACATTGCAGAATAGGTGACCATAATCCTTGCAAGGAGAATTGAATGGTGCAACATCTGAGTTATACAAACAAGGGCAATTTCAGGGATGCTAAATGGGACATGACACAGTGCAACTTATTGTGTCTAAAATAGCTCAAGTGGACCTTCCTGGGACTTCTGGACTACAATGTATGCGAACCCACACATAGTACTCTGCTCGCCTCTTTGGAACATCTCAGTAGTTAAACGTAACTATAGAATTTAAAGCTGGAACAACTCCTTGGAGGCATCTAGAGCAGGGGTTCTTAACCTCCTTTGTTTTGTGACTTGTGAACCCATTTGGCAGTCTGGCAAAGCTTGTGGACACCTCTCCAGAATAATGTTTTTAGGTAATTGATCGGACATGCCAAATTTCAGTTCAGAAGGTAGGGGTAATTTTTTTTTCCTATCCAAGTTCACAGACTCCTTGAAGGTCTATGTACCCCAAATTAAGAACCCCTGATCTATACCAGTAGTTTCTTTTCATAGATAAGGAAGCTATCACCCAGTGAGGTAGATTGCTGTCCTTGAGATCTTGTAGTCTAAGTTAGGTAATCAGACATCTGTGAATAATTAATAAAGAAAGGCAGCATATAATTTAAGTTTGGAGAAAGAATACCAACTGGAGTGATTGAGGAAAGTTTCATTTTGGAGGTAGATTATGAGCTAGGCCTTGAATAGTAGCTGACATTCATAGTGGGTTGGGTATTGGACTTGGAATTAGGAAGACCCAGTTCGAATCCTTCTTGGACACTAGCTTTGTGACCCTAAGCAAGTTACTTAACCTTTTAATCTCCCTTTCCTAGTTTGTAAAATAGGGATAATGATAACACCTGTCTCACAGTGTTGTCTTAAGGATCCAATGAAATGTCAGTAAGTGTTTATTAAGCACCTACTGTATGCCAGGAACTTTTAAGTGTTGGGATGCTAAGAAAGGCAAAAAAGGTGAGAGGGTGGGCTTTTGCAAACCTTAAAGTGCCATATAAATGCTGTTATTATAATACTTTTTTAAAGTTTTCAAAGTAATTTACACATTTCCTTAGAAAATGTAACGAGGTAGGTGCTATTATTATCTCCATTTTACAGATAAGGAAATCAAACTCAGAGAAGTTATGATTTGCCCCTCATCATTCATATAAGCAGTTAAGTGTTGAAAAGATGGGTAGAATTTGGAAAAACAGATGAAAAGGAAGGACATTTCCAATTGTGGGGAAGGGGGATAGAAACCAGTATGATCACAGGTACGTGTTCAGTAAACAGTGAATAGACCTATCTGGCACATGTAAAGAGTCCACGTGGTAGTAGAAAATAAGGTTGGAAAGGGGAGTTGTATTGCCAGGATAAAGACTTTTAACTATATTTAACTGTATAGACCGTAGAGAACCATTGAAAGTATTGAGCAGGTTAATGTTGGTGGTGAAAATATAAAAGCAGTATTAAATTAATTTGGCAACTGTGTACAAGATGGACCGGAGCAGAGAGAGACCAGGTAGATGGTTATTACTTCATATTTACGGTGTCACTGAATGATATTTAATTTTGTTTACGTGCTTCCCTACGTAGGCCATAAGCTTCTTGGGGACAGGGATTGTTTTAGTTTTGTATTTAAGTCCCCGTTACCTAGCACATTGTGTGAAAGCGTAGGTGCTTAATAAGTGCTTGTTGATTGATTATTGCAGATTGAGAAAGGAAAAAGAAAGACACATGAGAAATATTACAAAGGAAGAATGGACTGGACTTAAGTGACTGCTTAGATGTGAGGTACAAAAGAAAGCTGAAACTGAGAGTCAGTGACTTAGAGCAAAGAGCTAAAGACCTCCCTTGGGGAGGCCCACAAGTTAGAAGTCAAGAAAAATGAAAAAGAGGAAGAAATCAGTTAGAAAATCCAAATAGTGTAGTGTCACAGGAGAGTTCTAACTAAAAGAGACTGGTCAGTGGCAAGAAATACTGCGGAGAGGCGAAGGACTAGAGACCGAGAAAAGGCCGTTCATTGGAGTTGCTCCTCCATTATCTTTGAATGTGCAAATGATGCACTGCATTTGACTTTAAACTACCTATATTCATTTGACTCTAGTTGATCTTTTCCATTGCCATTTGAAATTAAAGATCCATATAGGCAGAATTTAGACCAAGGCCTGCCCAGGCAACCACCTCTACAGTTTTAAGTATCAGCTTGGGGTTAGTTATTACTGATTATGGTACTGGTAGTTGGGATCATAGGGATTGGTCCTGGAGCCTGAGGACACAGTAAAAAACACTTAAAAGTAAATCCCTCAACTGAGATAACATGTAAAGTGCTCTGCAAACCTAAAAACCCTACATAAATGCTTGCTGCTGCTGCTATTACTGCAACTATAATTTGTTGTTGTTATTTAGTTGTTTCAGTTGTGCCTAATTCTTTGTGATCCCACTTGGGATTTTCTTGGCAGAGATACAGGAGTGGTTTGCTATTGTATCTTTCTCCAGCTCATTTTTACAGATGAGAAAACTGAGGCAAATAGGATTATGTTACTTGCCTAGGTTCACACAGCTAGTGAGTACCTGAGATACAGGTTTGAACTAGGGGAGATGAGTCTTCCATACTATAGGCCCAGCAGCTCTATCCACTTTGCCACTTAGCTGCTGCTCCTACTACTGTTACTGCTTCTTTATAGCCCTCTGGTTTTCCAGGAAGTCCAAGAAGTGGAGTGCTGGTAGGGGAAAGATCATTTCATTTTGACTAGCTGAAAAAGCTGTTTTGTCGAGTAATCTTGAGCAGGAGGCCCAGATTAATCCCTGATATATAGTATGTATTGTGGTAGAATAGCAGTCCCTTCACTATGAGCCTATGTGTGGAACTAGGTCCTAAGAACAGTGATGTACCTGCTATAGCATACCTCTTGGAACTGCCGATCCTATCAGAACTCTGAAAATGTCTTATGCTAAGGGTTAGGTCTGCTACTATCACAAAAAATAGATCCTCTGGAAGAAATTTACTCATTTTCTATGTGAGGATTATAGAATATTGCTAGCTGTGGAACTAATGACTTTGAGAATTTGGTTTTCCTTCTTTTCAAGGGATATTGTTTACCTCTTCTTGAATAAACCATACGGGTTCACAGTGAAGATTCCAGTTCAGAATACTGCTGTCGTGGTTTGGTGTGTGTTGTGTTTTTTAAATACATTTAAGATAAAAATAGTGAGGTATTTTCCTTTAAAATAAACCTTTATCACAGTGGGTTTTCCTCCCCTCTTTAGTAAATCGTATAGTGGAATTTTTCTAGGTTCTGATAAT